CACTTGAGCTTTTCGTCTCATCCGCCCCGTCAACCAGTTCGTCAAGCCCGAGCTGCCGTGCTTCGTCTTCTTCGGGTTCTTCCTCGAGGCGGACGTCGGCGGCGACCCCGCTACTGTCTGCGCCGACCCTCTCCTAGAATGAGGCGTTCCAGGGCACCGCTGGCACGCGTTGCTGTCGTGCAGCGCATTGCCTGGATGCATCGTTATGCAGTCTTCCCCAAGGAACGGGGAAGTGGCCCCGCCTGCGCGCCGCGCCGCGCGCGGTCCTTGCCGCGGCCACTTGTCAGCCTTACCGCAGGCGCGCCTCCCGCTCGCTGGTTCAAGTAGGCAGGAATGTTGATTGCGATTGACAAGCGATCGGGGCAGAGCTGCGCCACTCATTTGACAAAAAAGATCCGTTGCCCCACGCTCTGGCGCACGCTGCGCGCCTTGGCGCTAGGACGCACGATGCACGGAGTGCGCAGCGCCAGGCGCGCTGACACTTGCATTGCGCCTTCGGCCGCGTGGTCGCAGTCGCGCCTTGGCAGCGCCGCTCGGTTGAGGCGCGCGGCCGCGTGGCAATCTGCGCGCCTCCTGCCGCGGCGGCTCCGAACAAAGAAGTTCGCGCGGCCGCCCCTCCAGCGGAAACTTCCCGATCGCTCAGGACTCGCTGGCGGGGGGTGCGCCCGATCACTGCTGGCGCGCGGCGGCGCAGGCCCCGCTGCGCGCGCCGCCGCGCGCGCGCATGTGCTTCTCCGCGCGCCTGGGGCATCGCTTGCGCCTGGCGATGCAGCTGCGCGAGCGCGGCGCGCTATTCCTTGGCGCCCCCATGAGTCGCGCCGCGCGCCCCGGGGCATTGCTCGCGCCCCGCGTGCCCGCGCAAAGCGTCTTGCAGCGCGCGCCGGAGGTCGGCGCGCTCAGCAGTGCGCCAGAGCGCGCGCGAAGGCAGAGGCGCGCCGCGGCTGCGCCCAACCGCGCGCTGCGCCGCGCGCGCCGGGGCACCGCGGCGCCTGGCTGCGCGCCGTGGCGCGCGAGGGCTGGCGCGCCAAGCGCATTTGCGCCTTGCCGAGCTCGTCTCCAACCACCTCTCGGAGTGCTTGTTGGCGCCAATGTTGCTTCCTCCCAGCCGCGCTCAGGTCGGGTCAGAATCAGCCGCGCCGCGCGGGGCGCTGCTCGCAGAGACCTCGTGGGTCGGGTCAGCCGGCGTGCGATTTCAGCGCGCGTGCTCCTGCGCCATATTGCAAGTCTTTTTCTGCATCTACCTCGCTCCACCTACTCATCCACATCGCCGCCCCAGCGAAGAGGAACAGTTCAGGCGCATGGCAGCCGGCGCGGGCAGGGCCACCTCGCTGCGCACCGCCTCTCAGTTGTGCGCTCACCACACAGCGCGACCCACCTGCGGCATGCAACCTGCTGTGGGTCCGACACTTGACTTTGACTAGTACGTTGCCACTTGCTAGGCCACCGTCCGTCGGAGGAGTGCCTCCGTTGAGGTCTCGTCGACCGGCCCAGCGTCTTGGCGCCCCCTCGCCAAGGGCGCGCCCTGTCAGTCCGCGCCGCAAGTCCAATGGTCAGATTGCGGCCTGCGCCGAAGTTGCGTCGGCGCCTGAAGATCGAAGGGGTCCAGCTCCACAGGGCTCTCCGCCTCCTTTCCGACGGACTGCCGGGCCCGCGCAGAGCCTAGCACAACGCGCTCGTCTTGTGGATGTACGCGCTTCGGTTCGAAACTGAGGGATGTGTTTGTGATCTTGACCGAGGTTTATCATCGTGACACACGCAATCCGTCTCACAGAATAGCACATGGAGTTATTTGTCACTTGAATCCTCTGTCTGGGCAGACGCAGAGAGTGTTTGCTGAGTGTCTTTGCCCGTTGGCGCGCGCCGCAAATTACGCGGATGCCCATGCCGGGTTGTTTTGCTCATTCTGTCTTCTCTTCCACCGCGTCGCGCACCACGGAACACCAGCTGCCGCTGGATAGGCGAGAGGACGAGGAGGACGCGGCATGTCAGAGGCCGCAGGGAACAGCAAACTCGAAGACGAGGAGGGCGACACAAAGCAGATGACTCGGATAACAGTCAGGAAGATGAGGAAAAAAGACCATGCGGCCGGGGGGGACCGCACGCTCAGGTAGCAACGCCACTGCGCCGCACCACGCCCCGCAGGACCGTGGCACCCTCTCGGCGACATGGCGGGGACCCCGGCCCGAGTAGGCAACTGGCCCACTTGCCTTTGAGCACTGTCCCCCCTCGTGCCGACCCCCCTGACCGCCCCCCTGAAGCCGCAGGTCGAAGGGGGAGACGCAAAGGCGACCAACAAAACAAAGGAAGAGCGGGGCAGTGCCACCATAAGGACCACAGAACCGCTCAACTCTGCCTCTGCTCAGCATCCACCTTCTCTCAAGGGGCCCAATGACACACAAATCAAATAAATACACACAAATGAAATGTTTCCCCATATTTTCCAATATTTTCTGGGTTGTTGTCTTTCCCCCCCTGCCCATATTTTCCCATATCTTGCTGGGGTGGACGATTACTTGTGTCTGTGTGTAACGCATCTGGCCAACGACGGCAAACTCATGCATCTGTGGCCTACGTGCCCAGGTGCAGGCCAGACCACTTACCAGTCAAAGCTTGCGCCGCCACTGCGCTTTCACGCTCACGACTACCTCGACAGAGGAACAGGGGTCGACTGCCAGCAACACACAGCAGCATGATTTTGCGCCTTCTATGACCTCCCTCGCCAAGCTGCGACCACGAATTCGGCAAGGGTACGTCAGCCCTGCCAATGTGCCTCCCGTGTCCTGCCAAGGAGGACGTCGATATGTTCATTATCACCATGACCATCACCATCGACGTGTCCCAGCCAACAGGGCAGTCCAGCAGGACCGCTTGGGCGCGTGAGTGCATCTGTCAAGCCGCGCCGGCACGCATCAGCCGCCAATCGCAGTGGAAACGCGCGCGCGCGTGCAGCAGCGCGATCAGTGGCACGTCGCGCCGCGCGCTGCGCGACCCATGGTGGTTGACGTCCCGAGCGGTGCCGCAGCTGGCACGCCGCAGATGCAGCGTACGCACCATCGTCTTGCGACCCCTTTAACCTTGTGGTTGCAGGAAGGCCAGGGCGCGTCTGTGATACTGCGCGCGCACATGGACGCAACGGCCTGTTTTCAGTTGGAGCATTTCCACAAAACCTTCTCTCCTCTTCTCCGTCGCACCAGGCAGGAAACAAAACACCACATCACAGCGAGTTCAGCGCCCAGATAACTGCGAGCATAGTCAATACGAACATGAACGTATTTCCGCTTCTGACGGATCCTGGAAAGAAGGTGGATTTGTTTGTCAGATCACCGCCCAAGTCTGCTCAGAGAAACAGCTCGTTCGCCAACGCTGGCCAGTGGACCCAGCGCCGATCGCAGGGCGAACGAAGTAAGGAACCGCCAGGACGATCGCGTTTCGACTTTCCACGGGCGTGGAGCGCGGATCGCGTGGCAAAACACCACAGCAAGTCAGTTGACAGTCCGCGCCGTGTGCTGTGCTGGCTGTTGCTGGGCAAACTTGCTCCCTTCCCGCGCGTCGGATATTCACCATGCGTTGGTAAGGACTGTTCCTTGTCACGTTGGAGGGGAACTTCTGCTGCACCAGTACACGTTTTCCGCCGCATGCGGAACGTTACCGACCTGTTCCGCCCAAGTCTGAAGGTTGAGCAGGTCCAGCAAGGCAATTCCATGCTCGTGGGGCGACAACGCGGACCACTATTCATGTTGGGTCAATAGTGAAGCAGGAACACACTTTGGATCAACAGCGAACTTGAACACATTTGTGACCAGGGCAACTGCGGTGACTCACAGCGGGGTGTTGGTGCGCACGACACAGAAGTAGATACGGCTATGGTGTGTAACGCTCAGGTTACCCGCTCATGCACTGCGACCGTCTTTCATCCCCGTGCTATCCAAAAATATATCGACGAAGGCACTACGTACACCTTGGTCCTACACGCACGCAGGTCTCCCGTAGCTAAGTAGTGTTGTCGACACTGCACGTTTCGCACCAGCTCTGAGCGCGACCTGCTGCAGCCTCGTAGCGCCAGCAGTGGGAGCAACCAGCTGTGCCCGCATCGGCACGCCAGTCGTTCGTGGCCTGCGTGGGTCAGGCCAACAGGTCCTAAATACGTGCCGGGTTCCTGGCGCGCCTCGCTTGGCGGCTACATCACGACAGGGCCCATGCCGTCGTCAGGCACGGGTTCATGGCCCGTCCTGCCTGGCGGCCGCTACCAGCGGCCACAGCTCCACAGGGCTTGCGCCACTGGTCGGCGCAGACCTTTGGCAGGCTCTGCCTGGGAACCGTTACCCGCGACTTCACAACAACAGGGCCCGTGAAGTGCCATTCATCACGGGTTTCAAACACGCGTTGCCTGAAAACTTGCCACCACTGGCTACGCTACGCCACCACAGGGTTTTGTGCCATCATACGGCACGACCCCAGCTGATGTAACCAAGGCTGGAAGGGGCCCGAAGAGTCCCACAACTACCTCGGGCACCACACGACAAGTGTGCCATCATGACGAACATCTCGACAGTACATCGTGTTGCAGGTGGTTTGTCGAGAAGTTCTGCCTTCAGACTTGCAGGGACGCCGCTCAGGTGACCGGAAAATGATTCCCTGATTTTGGCTTGGCCGCCGGACGATTGGCGTTACAACTTGCGGTGCTACGAGGTGTACCTCGTCGAGTACTTGCAAGGCAAGCGGAGCGATCAAGTTTGAACATGCAACGTTCTGTTTTTCAATACACGGTCCCTGGAAGTCCCAACCCTGTTCCCAGGACCCGCTTTCCGTCCTGAGTAGTTTTCTTGACGGTCCCCAGGCCCAGCGAGGCCCCCCCGAGGCCGAAAACGGCAGAACAAATCACGCCCCGATGTTTGTGACGATGCGGGCATGCCTGGGGGGCGACGGGCATGCTTGGGGGGCGAAGAGGAGCTGCATCGCCACCGCCTTCGTGCCACCGCTGCGCCGCCGCGCCCGCCGAGGTGCTGGTTCGGCGACCCCGCGGCCGACGCCTGGGCCCCGCCGGAGTACAAGGCCGCCCCAGCGCCGGGTCCTCCCCTCGGGGCGCCGGCCCCGCTTCCCCTTCGCGGGCCGTGGGGCTGCCAGCCGGACTGGCGCAGACCTCGACACTCCTCCTCTTCCTTCTCCTCCTCCTCCTCCTCCTCCTCCTCCTCCTCCTCCGCCTCTTCCTCCTCCTCCTCCTCCTCCTCCTCCGCCTCCTCCTCCATCTCCTCCTCCTCCTCCTCCTCCTCCTCCTCCTCCTCCTCCTCCTCCTCCTCCTCCATCTCCTCCTCATCCATCTCCTCCTCATCCATGTCCTCCTCCTCCTCCTCCTCCTCCTCCTCCTCCTCCTCCTCCTCCTCCTCCTCCTCCTCCTACTGGCGCGCCTCGCGCTGCGCCTCGCGCTCCTGGCGCACAGCGCTCCTGCGGGCGGCCCGGCCGCTCCCGGCGCACCTCGCGCTGCCAGTCCAGCGCTGCCAGGAAGCCTGCTCCGAGCGTGCAAGGCTCGCGGCCTTGCGCCCATCGCGCTGCAGGCGTTGTCTCGGGTATAGCCAGGACCCCAGGTAAGGGGGCCCAGTTAGTGGTAGGGCCCCGGAGTCCTTGAATAGGCCAGAATCACTAAACCAGGTCTGCCGTAGCTGGTGTTTTTTCCGGTGACGGCAGTCCCGGTCAGTGGAACGGGGCGGGGGGGGGGGCGTCCCCCAGTACACATCACTAACCAGGTTCCACCAAACCCAGTTCTGCCAACGCCCGACTCGGGTGTTGCTAGAAGTGCCCCAGGCCCAAGGTGTACCCAGGTTTTCCAAGGAGGCCCCCACGGCCTTGTAGAGCACCCCTTGCGAGGCCCAGAGGGCCCCAGGGACACACAAATAAATACACACAAATAACCGGATTCTCCACATTTTCCTATAATTTCTGGGTTTCTGTCTTCCCCCCCACTTCCCATATTTTCCCATATTTTCCTGGGAGTGGACGATTAATTGTGTCTGTGTGTTTTTTCCCTCCTGAACCAGAAGGTACCAATACCGCTGCTCCCCAGACATCTCCCCCAGCGAAAAGCTGGGAGTACCTTGGGTCAGGGGCACCTTCAGCAACTCCCGAGACAAGCGCGTTCCACGACTCGCAGAGTAGGTGCTCGCAAGTGGCCCGGGTCCGCCGCGGCGGATTTTCGGTCCATTCCACAGGGGAAGGCATGTTTGTGTTTTTTCCCGACGTTTGCGGATAGGCAATCTGCGAGTCGCGGAAAGCGCTCGGTGAAGACCACAGGGTGCCCCAACCCCCCCCCCTCTCTCCCTTAAACTCGGGCCTGTCCTTCTACAGGAGGAAAACTCAAAAATAGTAAAAGATGATGGGGGCGGTATTGTGAGGATTGTGCTGTTAAGTTTTGAGTATTTGGGGGTATCTTTCATTTTTCGTTCAAAATCCGCCTGTAGGGAGACAGGCCCGACCTAACCTTACCAGCCTGAAACAGACCCTATCCCCATGATGGGAATCAACTTCTCTCGATGCCGATCTTAAGGATGGCCTCGGTTTCTAAGGACGCCTCCCCAAGAGGCGTTGCCGTTTGGCTCGTCATTCTTAGGGGTAGAGATCCATTCGAGGCTGTTCATCCCAAGCGTTTTTTTTTGTCATCTTCGGTCGGGCGTTGCGCAATGGGCGGGCGGTAAGTGGGGGCCGGCGGAAGCTGACGGAAGCCGAAGGGGGCGTTGCACAATAGGCCGGTGGAAGCCGACGGCCAGCGGAAGGCGGCGGAAGTAAGAATCGTTCTGCGCCTCAACAGAGATGCACACTTTTGGGGGTCCAGGGGTCCTGGAGCCGTCCACTTGGCCGCCTCTCGGTCGTTTCGCAAATGGGGGGGCGCGAAATGGGGGGGTGAAGAAAAGTGATGATAATGGTGATGATGATGATGATGATATTGATGATGCTGCTGCTGATGATGATGATGCTGGTGATGATGATGATGATTGTGATGATGATGATGATGATGATGATGATGATGATGATGATGATGATGATGATGATGATACTGATACTGATACGGGTACTGATACTGATACAGATGACGATGACGATGCTGATGCTGATGCTGATCATGATGATGATGATGATGATGATGATGTTGATAATAATGATGAGGATGCTGCTGCTTAGGATGATGATGACGAGGATGAGGATGAGGATGCTCATGCCGATGATGGTGCTGATGCTGATGCTGATCATGGTGCTGATGACGATGATGATGATGCTGCTGATGATGATGATGCTGATGCTGATGCTGATGCTGCCGATGATGATGATGATGATACTGATACTGATGATGATTCCGATGATGCCGATTATGATGATGATGTTGATGATGATGCTGGTGGTGATGATGATGATGATGATGGCGACGTCGACGATGATGATGATGATGATGATGATGATGATGATGATGATGATGATGACGATGATGATGATGATCATGATGATGATGATGATGATGATGATGATGATGATGATGATGATGATGATGATGATGATGATGATGATGATGATGATGATGATGATGATGATGATGATGATGATGATGATGATGATGATGATGATGATGATGATGATGATGATGATGATGATGATGATGATGATGATGATGATGATGATGATGCTGACGATGATAATGCTGATGCTGATGCTGATGCTGACGTTGATGTTGACGCTGCTGCTGATGAGGAAGCAGGAGGAGGAGGAGGACGACGAGCGAAGTGTGAGGAAACAGGAGGAGGAAGGGGAGGAGGAGGAGGAGAAGGAGGAGGAGGAGGAGGAGGAGGAGGAGGAGGAGGAGGAAAGAAGGAAGGAGGAGGGCGGAAGGGGAGAAGGAGGATGCAAGGAGGTAAGGAGGAGGAGGAGGAGAAGGGAGGGAGGGAGGGAGGGAGGGAAGGGTGATGGGGAAGAGGGGAGGAGGAAGGAGGAAGGAAGGAGGAAGGAGTAAGGATGAAGGAGAAGGAGGGAGGAGGGAGGATGGAGGAGGAAGAGGAGGAGGAGGAGGAGGGGAAGGAGGAGGAGGAGGAGGCAGGAGGAGGAGGAGGAGGGAGGAGGAGGGAGGAGGAGGAGCGAGGCAGAGAGGAGGAGGAGGAGGAGGAGGATGGAGGAGGAGGAGGAGGAAGGAGGAGGAAGGAGGAGGGAGGAGGGAGGAGGAGGAGGAGGAGGAGGAGGAGACGGAGGAGGGGAGGAGAAGGAGGAGGAGGAGGAGGAGGGAGGAGGGAGGAGAGGGAGGAGGAGGAGGAGGAGGAGGAGGAGGAGGAGGAGGGAGGAGGAGGAGTAGGAGGAGGAGGGGCGGAGGAGGAGGAGGAGGAGGCGGAGGAGGAGGAGCGAGGAGGAGGAGGAGAGGAGGAGGAGGAGGCAGGAGGAGGAGGAGGAGGAGGAGGAGGGGAGGGAGGAGGAGGAGGAGGAGGAGGACGGAGGAGGAGGAGGGAGAGGCAGGAGGAGGAGGAAAGGGAGGAGGAGGAGGGAGAGGGAGGAGGAGGAGGAGGGAGAGGGAGGAGGAGGAGTGAGGAGAGGAGGAGGAGGAGGAGGAGGAGGAGGAGGAGGAGGAGATTTACCAGCGAGGTGCGAGGACGCAGGAGGGAAGAGCGCCTCCCCTCCCGCGGCCGCGCGCCGGCGAGGCCTCGCCCGCCAGCAGCACGGCGGTCAACATCCTGGACTTCGCGACGCCCCAGCGCGCCCGCAGGGGCTATCCGAGCGGCCGGGCGCCCGTGCCCCGACGGGGGGCCCCCCTCTGCGCTCCTGGCGAGGGGCCCCTGCTGCGGGGGGGGGTCAGGCGGTTGGGCGGGTGCAGGGGGGAAGCGGGTGGGCGGGTGCTGCGGGAGGGCGGTCGGGCGCGGCGCCGATGGCTCTCAGGTGTGATGCCGCGCGCGCCTCGGGCGCCACGCCTGCCTCGGGCGCTGCGCCCGCGCCTCGGGTGCAGGGGGTCAGGCGGTTGGGCGGGTGCTGCGGGAGGGAGGGAGCGGTTCGGACCACATCGGAATCGCGGGTGGGGTTCAGTCGGGCCTGTCCCCCTACCCATCGGTCGCTGAAAGCAGGTATTTTTGGATTCCCAGATTGCAATCTACTTTCAGCGCCTTCCTACTTCAAGAGTCAAGTGGTTTTCCCTTTTCCTTCCTCTTCAGGAGGCGTGCGGAAACCCAATCTATTTCCAACGCCTTCCTACTTCATGTTTCTACCTACTTCTTCCGACCGATGGGTACAGGGGGATTTTCGACGAAAAAGAAAAGATACCCCCAAAATAGTCAAACGATAGTCCAAAGATGGTCAGGGGACTATTTCTCTAGTATTTGTTTGACCTTTTCGGGGCATTGTTGGGGTATTTTTTTGTTCGTCGAAAACCCCCCTGTAGGGGGACACGCCCGACGGTAGGAGTCTTCGCACATTTATCTCCTGGGCGCCCTGGCTCAAGGGCCCCAAGCGGCAGCGAGCGGATGCAAGCGGGGAGAGACCCTCGACATGCCCCCTCCGGACCTTCCGCGCGGCACCTGCCGCGCGGAAGGTGCGCAAGGCGCAGGTCGAGGCGATGAAGGGACAGGAAAAGCGACTGGGCAACTCAGTCGTGGAAGCTGGACGGTTGGCATGCGGGGGAGGGGGGGAGGGGGGGTACGAGGGACAGAGGGAGGTGCGTCCGCCTGCCGAGTGAGGGAAGGGCGCCAGTGGGCAGAGGGGGGCGGGGGGGCGGTGGTGCAGCTGGAGGCGGTGTAGGGGGGAGGGGGAGGGCTTCGCTCCTGACCCAGACCCGCCTTCGAGTCATGAAGCAAGTCACGACGGCAGGCTTTTCTCCGTTCTCGGCCTCTGGGGGGGCCCTCTACCGGGCCTCGGGACCGTCAGAAACGATTCCCGGTGGGAAAAAAAAAACTATCCAGGGGAACGAGTCGAGAGACCTATCTTCTTTTGTTTGTTTTTGTTCTTTCTCCTTCCGCGTTGTCTTATGATTCTCTTTGTTTCTTTTCCT